TATTTGTCGTCGATTGCATTTTGGACGTCAAAGAATCTTTTTTTGTACGTGAATCTTCATTTTTGTATTCTGGGGACCGACAAAGGAGACAAAGGAAAGCTCAAAAGAGAATTGAAGTAACAGTACCCACGCGAACCATCAAACGAAAATGGATATGGAATATTTTCCTGATGTTGATCCGGTATTTTATAGTCTTTGATATGATGCATCTCTTACTCACCCAATAACAGATCGATTTTATCATTTAGCTCTGCATTTCCACCGGCCGTGCTCTCGCCCTCGCCAGCATTGTGGCTGCTGCTGTTGCTCGTGTTCAAAGTTGTGCCAGTGTTGTTGTTGCTGTTGCTATTGATGCTGCCACCGCCCAGTGTTGGCGGCACGTTGCCATTGTTCTTGTGCTGCACCGCCTGCGACATGATCTGTGCTGCATTCTGCAGTTCTGCCGATTTCTTTACGAGCTTCACCTTGGCCGTCTCTGCCAGCCATTTGGCATCAACCGGCTCCAGCAGGGGTGACGAGTTTGGCAGCTCCTCCTCCTCCTCCTCTTCATCATCATCGTCGTCGTCGTCGTCGTCTAGGTTATCCAGCTCCGCCTCGTAGGCATCATCGGCATCCTCCTGTGTGGCCATAATTTCCTGCACCTCACGACTGGGACTCGAGCCGCCGCTGGCCAAGTTCTCGGCTAGATTTCGCTCGGGATTCCGGTCGATGGCAATGAACTTTTTGCGCGCCTCAAACTTGTCTTTGATCTTTTGCTGTTCGAGATCCTCTATGAGGGTATTGTTCATCAAATTGAGGATATTCGCATTGGAATTTTCGCCTGCTTTGCCGCCCGTCACGGTGGCCAGCATGCGGAGAGTATTCAAGACCTGAGAGTCAATGGCATCGGTGGCCGCAGTCACCGCTGGGACGGGGCCGGCGCCGGCAGAATCAGTCCCTGTGGTGGTTGTGGTGCTGGTGGCCACCACCACAGCGGTGGTCGCTGTGCTGCTGGACTGTGTTCCACTCGCACTAAAAGCATCTGGTGTCATAAGATTCACCTGCGGATAGGCGCTGCCAAACTGGGGCGAAGCGGATCTCGATTTAATGGTCGTTGCAGCGTCTATGGCCTGCTGGAGGATGGCTGAGGGTGCGGCGGCAGCAGCTACCGCCATTGCCACCACAGCAGAAGAGCTGCTGCCACCCACAGAGGCAGCCGCTGCTCTCTTAGCGGACTTGGCAAACAGTGCGTCGAGTGGAACACTGCCTGAACCTGCTCCACTGTTGGGCGAGACAGTCGTCTCCTTTTTGAGGAGCAACAGATTATCTTCGGGCGTCTCGGAACGCTGCTTGCTCGGAATGCTGCTAATGCTGCTGCTAGTCAGACTCTTGCGTTCAGTCTTCTCGGGCACACACGGCTGGTAGATGATGTGGCACTCCTGCAGGCTCTTGGCCTGCACGACAAACATGTGCACCACCAGCGCGTATGTGGAATTGTTCTCATCATCAAAGTCGTCCGGCTCCTCCACAGGGTAGTAGCTCTCCACAGAGCTCTTCAGACGCCGCATGGCGGCGTTCACAATCGAGAAGGAGAGTATTCCCGAGCTGAGCTTGAACTCGGCCACGTTTTGGATTCGCTGATCGTTACCCTCGCCATCACTGAGTTCGCCCGCATCTCCCGCATCACCGCTGACGCTGCCAATCTGCATGACATAAACAGCCAGGCTCTCCAGGCAGGACACCACCAAATAATTGGCACTTCGATCGATGCCAGCAATAAACTGTCCGGGTACGGCCAGAGCGGCCACAATATTGATGGTCTGCAGGCACTCCCACAACGAGCAATTCCACAGCTTGATTTCCGTGTTGTTGTCGCTGGTGGTGATTACGTGCTGCCAGTAGGATCTGCAGTAGAATCAGTGTATCAGTATGGAATCAGAGTAATATTAGCGGTCATCGACTTACTCCTCCACTGGCTTGTTGATGTTGTCCAGGAAAAACAACGAATTGACTTTCTTGCCATCGTGGGGCTTCCATTCGTGCAGGCAGCGTGGATTGCGGACATCAAAGAAGTAGATTTGATAGAAACGCACCAGGCCATCGGCACAGGCGGCGGCCACTGTGGTACCATCGGGCGAAAGAGCGGCGCAGGTGATCAACGAATCCTCCTCAATCTTAAGATAGCCAGCATCCAGGACAGTAGGATTGATCTTGCCACGCTAAAAAGAAACATTAATAAATCAATCAGTCTATCAATAGATTGGGGGACTACCGCGCACTTACCCCATGCTCACTGATGATCATTTTCACATGAAAGACCTGAAACTGTCGGCTGCGCGACCAAATCAATAGCTGATTCTCATCATCATCATCACCGGGGGCACCTGCACTCGAGCTATTGCACACATACGGACACCAGGAGACCATATCGTACTCGGGCTGATAGTTGGCAATGGGATCCTCGACTTTCAACACCAGATTGCACAGCAGATTTCCTTCGATCAGATCGATTTTGTATACGAAAAGGGAGCTCACGTCGATCACAGCCAGTATACGTTCCCGATCTGTGTGGGCGAACTGCAGATCCAAGACCTCGCCGCTCATACCTTTGATAAGGGCACGCATGCTGGTGCTGATATTGCAGACACGCACCATGCCCTCCATGCCGGTGGCCTTGTTGTTGACTGAAAGGCGAGAATTCTCTTAAATAAATGAGGGAAGTCAATCGGTGGCAGTTCTCACCGTTGATGGCATAGGCCAGGTGTTTGCCATCACGATGGACGGCCACCAAATGGCCAGGATAATAGTATTTGCGCTCCCATTTGTAGTCGACAATGTTCTTTAGCTTGACCTTTGACGAACCCCGCGTATGGACAGAGGCGGATGCCAAGATTTTGGTATGATTCGTTTTGATGATGCGACAGATTTGCTTCTCGTGCGGATTGAAATGGCTGCAAAAAGTGTCCATTTATCATTAGTTAGGAGGAAAGCGATGGGATGATTCATATATATTATACACTATAATACGCACATCGTTTCAATATCATTGGAGTCGGCGGCATTCCCATTGGCGGCTATGGCATGGCCCTGATCCTGGTCAGCGTTGGTGTTCATCTCGGATATTGTGAAGATCGTTGGGGATGTTAAATGGGCGGATGTGTTTGCTTTTGTTGCTTTGCCACACCTTGACAATTGGGGACGCGACGATGAAGATGGAGGTGGCGGTGTCGGCGGCGTCGGCTTACGAAATATTGGCAACTGTGCGAGCGCAAAGAGCGCGACTAACATTGACACATTAACTTACTGCAAAAGTTCGAATAAGGAAAATGTACATGTACATGTGTATACGCGACGGGGCGCAGGTAGACCATTATTTTCTTCGCCCACCATTCATTCATTCACACTAACCTGCTCTATATCCAATAAGCACACTCTTGAGCCACTGGGCGTTCAAAGCCTCCCTAGCCTGTGAGATGTGTGGAAACCTTTGTTGTTGCTTGCAGCAAACTTAAACCATTTAATTAAAAAACAAATTACAAATTTTCGCAGAAAATTTGCTCGATGCCGCAAAAAGTGTGGCCGCGGATTTATCGTTAAAATATACCGTCTGACCCTCAGAAATATACAGTCTTTTGAAAAATATACCTTAAATATACTGACGATTTTACATATTTCTCGTTTTTGATATTCCGTGGAATATTACTAGCTATATAGATCATTTAGCCACGCCCACATGGTTTTATACGATTGATGAATCTATTTTCTACTTGATTGGCTTAATTTTAACACTTGCTTTTATTGGATTTGCATATAACATTGAAAATGAAATTTAATAGATTGCTGAAATTGACAAAATATACCATTATATACCGATACACCGTAAATATACCGTCGGTTAAATTTTGACCTCAAAAAATACCGAAAAGTATTAAAAATACCGCAAATGAAGTCGATAGCGATGTTATCGCTTTTTAGGCCGGTCTGCTCTGTCGAAGTATCGAATTTCGAAAATTCAAATGATATACAATTTTTGTTTGCTCTTCTCGCACTTTTGCTTTTATTGCATTTTTTAGCTTTTTTAACACATAATACATTTATCTTTACTCACACAGATGTATATCCATCAAAACAATACACATTGATCACGCAGAAACGTAATAATATGTTTTCATAGTGTTTCAATATCACTTTTTTACTTCTTCAATTTCATTAGACTTTTTCTTTACGTTTTATGTTTTGTCTGTGTGTGTTTTGGGGTGGGGGTAAATGTTTAACAAGTTGAAGAAAACTCATACATCAAGTGGTTTAAGTATGCAAAAGAAATGATACATATGCTGGTATATATCTGATAAATTCGACATATTTAGTGGTCCGGTTTAAATTAAATTTCTCTCCTGTTTCAATCTTCTTTTCGTTTATAAAGAAATTTTGTTAAATGTACATAATATCAAGTTTTTTCTTGTGGTGTACACTATACATATAGAAAATATATAGTATATAATACGTATATACTTTTTGTGTGGGGTAGGAGCTGCGCCTTCAAGGAAATGAAAATTTTTTCTGTTTCAGCTTTTTTGCCTTTTCTAATACTTAAACATTAAGCCAGGCTTTACTTTCCTTTCTTTTTTGATAGGTAGGATTTTTAAGATTAAATATAGGTTCTTTCGTTTTTTTTTCGTTTTGGATTTTTCTGTTAGTTTTCATTGCCGGAATGAATAAGAAATGGGGGAGGCATTGGAATTTCGAGGCGTTGATAAATAGCAAATTGGCAAAAGAAAAATGCAATTGCAAAAGGTTTGTAGCACGAAATATTACAGCTGGGCGTTGGACCACTTTGTGGCAGTTTCATTATACACTAAGAGGGGGGTGAGATACGGATTTGGGTTCGGGTTCGAGGGCTGCGTGTGTGTGTCATCATTTACTTGTAACAATTAGGAGAACTGCATATGCATACACACGTAGTACACATATACATACACTCTACATATATATGTATATATAAATCGATCTGCATAAATATCTATAGAGGCGGCATTATTGTTTTTGTTGATTTTCGCATGATTTGTTGAGATTTAACTAGCCTACAAATTAAATTAGCGACTTCTATGTAGCAGCACACAAACTTGGGAGTACTTTCTACTCCTCCATCCATCCATCCATTCCACTGGCCATCCATCGTCAACGAAACTGTGCAAACATTCCAGCATTCATGCCGTCTGTTTGCACAGCTTTCTAGATTTGTTGCAAAAGCGAAAAGAGAACCTTTTTGAATAGAAATGATTGAATGTCAGTGGGCGATACCGCGCGATAAATAAATTGTGCAGAATCAACACATAAAAGTGTGACAAATGATAATGAAAATAATGATTATCTGACGCTGTTTAGACATTTGTGTAACCGGCTGACCCAGAGGATCCCCCGGTGACACTCGCCGTAACCGGAGCCGAAGATATCGACGAGCTTGTTCGCCCAGTGGGACCCTCGGAACCACCATTCAGGCTCTCCAGCCTGAGGCGCATCTCCTCCTTGCGCGTCTGGACGCTCAGCAGCTCGTCGCTGAGATCATTGCACAGGTGCAGCAGGGAGCTGTTCTGTTCGCGCAGTCGCTGCAGCAGCTCGGTGGTGCTCGTCTGGTTCTGCTTAAAGGACACGTGACGCAGGCTGTCACTTATGGCCGTCACTCGCTTCTCAAAGGTTTCGGCGCTTGGCAGTTGAGAGACAACTCCGCTCCCGACCAGGGCCGGGGCCGGTGGCGGCGGCTGTTGTGGCGGCGATTGTGAGTTCCGTGGCGTCTGCGGCTTGCGATAGACCTCAAAGGCTGATACCCGCTGCTGCGTTTGGGTCTGCTGCAGTGTAATCCGTGTCGGAGGCACACCGCCAGGCGGTGGCTGGGCCGGCGGCAGCGAGTGCAGCTGCTGCTCGGCCACAGTTCCACTCTCCAGCTAGAAGTTAACCAAAGATTAGTACGATTCGATCAGGAGGAAATGGTTGTAGATTGTAATTGGTGGGTTTTTTGTTTTGGAATGTTTTTAGAAGCTACTGAATTTGGACACATGACACTAGTGGAGCTACAGCCAATTGGAGTGGAATGCTTTCAAACATTTAAGATTTGTTTATGGACTTACAACATTCGCGGCGCCACCTTCGTCGGCAAAGTGCGTGAAATCGGCAAAACCCGCTGAGGTTTGCATATCGAAGCTGGCTTGCGCAGTAATCTTAACAAAGAGTAGGGGTAGGGTGGGTTTCATATTTATATACACATAACATAACATATTATAGGTGGTAAATCTTTGAGGAATAAAGTTAGCAACAAACAACCACAGCAACTGGTAGTCCCCGGCATGCCGAGGGCTCAAATACCCTTGCAAATACTCATGTATGGCTCCATAGCGAAGTGGAAAGTCTTGAGCATCTTTAAATTGGTTAGACTTGGTCTCTCCTGCTAATTCCAAGCCTCGTTTTCATAGGTATTGACACGGGCATTCAACTGAAATCGTCTTTAATCGATCTATGCCCTCAACTGACTCATCTTGAACATCTTTACACGTATAAGTCCTATTCATTTATAGATTTCTCCTTTAATTATCTATATATCGAATCTATTGTGTACTGACACTGTCTCTGAGATATGTATCTTTATCTTTATACAATCCCTGGTCTTGAAGCACTCATTTCTGAGGAAGCTAACTCTGAGAACCCCTCTCCGAAGCCTCTTCGTCATGCAGCCATTTATTGTTTAAAATTTTATAGGCCTCAAAATCATCTTGTTCAGCGCGATATTCGTTTAGTAATTCGCTTAAGTTAGCTTTTCTAAAACTGCTGAACACTCATTTTCTATCTCCCACTCATGCTTAAGCTTCCAGGAACTGATTCGTACATACAAACAATATATTATACTATACTCTCGAAACTTTAGCCTAACAACAGCCAAAGGATCGATACGAAGATCGATAGGGCTGTATACACATATTGCAAGGGTATGAAAGGATCATCAGTTGGATTTCCAACATTCACAGATGAGAGAAAAAGGTACAGATAGAAATCATCGGTTGTCTGAAGATCTGTACCGCCTTACAGAGGAAATAATTCTTCTTATATGCCTATGCACTGTTTACTCACCTCCGCCTGCTGTGCACCGCCCGTTGTGCCCATTTTGAACTTGTTCAAGTCCAAACTGCTGCTTCTCGCATGACGATGTGGCCTTGGTGGAGGCAATGGCGGCGGCTCCTTCTTGGACACGGCGACTGTCGTGGGAAAAACTGTCGTGGGCAGCGGATCCGAGGTCTCGCTAGGGCCAGTGGAACCAATGCTCGGCTCGCGTTGTGGTGGCGGTGGCAGCACACTGTTCTTGGCCGGCAGCTTCTTGGCCTGGGGACGCTGAATGGCACGCAGATCACTGCTCTCACGATGTGTGGCAGTGGCTCCTGTCGCTGCTGTAGCTGTGACTGCTGTTGCTACTGCTGCTCCTGCTGTTGATTGATTGTTGACTGTGGTGGTCGATGTTATGGTCTTCGGACTCTCCTCGCGCAATACAACGACCCCATCCATATCGGACGACTGCTCGCCGGAGGAAGAGGCTATGGCATTGCCTAAAGGAAAGTAATTTATTAGAGCTATTCGTTTCTTGTATTTCACTTCCTCTTACCTATGGGAGTCACACGCAGAGGCACGGGATGCAATATTTGCGGATTGGAGACCACATCCTGTGCAGTACGTTTCATATCAAACAGAGCTGGCTTGAGGCCGGGACTAGAGACGGCTGGAACAGCCGCAGCAGCAGCACCAGCAACAGCAGTACCAGCAACCGCACCAGCAGCCGTAGCCGAAGTCGAAGCAGCAGCTCCAGTCGTGGATTGAGCTGGTGCCGCACTCGTTGTGGGAGATTCACTGAACTTTGTCCACTGATTGGAGGCATTACTCGAATCGGGAGCATTTCCCGTTGACGACACTGTACCGCCTACGATCCTTTCGTGATTGGGGGAATTCGAAATGCTACGATTCTTATTCAGCGACGTTGTGGTGGGTGTCGCCTCGCGTCTCGAACTGTTGCTGGCCTGGGACGAGGTGGAGATGGTGCTCAGATTCATGATATTCTTGTCGTTCGGCGGCACAGTGGGACGCGGTTTGCTGGTGCCTGCCGAGCTGCCTCCGCTGAGATTACCAGCAATGATTGTATTGTCCGTCTGCTCGTCCTCGTCGTCGTCGTTCAAATGCAGGAGATCAGCCTCGGGGGGCTCTTGAGGTAACGACGACGACGAGGAGGAGGTCACTCCACCGCTGCCCCCAACCGCCTTCGTCTGCAGCACATTCGGATGCAGACAGTGGGGCAGGCTGGTGGGCAGCGGTATATTGTTGCGTCGCAGCACCACCAGATGCATGGCAGCCGTGAATTCAGAGAGACTCAACGCCCCATCGCGTGTCACGTCGCACAGCTGCCAAATGTGACGCAGCTCCTCCACGGGTATGCGGCTTTTCTCAAAGAAAACCCTACAGAAGATCAAATTAAAAGATATCTCTAGCCAAAAATAGCTCTTGAGCACTCACCGCGCTGCCTGGCCGGAGAGCAGGCCATGGGGATCACGTTGGACTGTTTTGAACTGCTTATTGTAGTATTCCCTTTGCTCTGGGGTGATCTGATAGACGGCCACCAGCTCGTTCTCGTTGTCATCGTCATCGCTGCTGTGGCGATCGGAGGATTCCTCCTCTGTGCCCAGCAGCTGGCGGTGCTCGTCGCCCAGGAGCCCTTGCCAGAGGGGATCCTGAGCCCAGGGTCGCTCCGCCACGCTATTGGTGGGCGTGGGGCTATCGCTGTTCGTGCTCCAGGCCTCTGGAGAGCCGCCACGTCGACGCTGCGCATAGATAAGGGAGAGGGAACACGGGACAGGGGTCAATGTTAAGCCTATTTGCATATATGCCATGATAAGATACGCACCCCGACATTCTCTCGACTGCTGCTGCTGACAACGCCACTGCCATCTGTGCGCTGCCCCGCCGCCTCTTCAATGGACTCGTTCTGCTCCACCTCTGAGTCGGTGCTGGGCACATCCGAGGTGTCCTGCAGCTGATCCTGCTGCGAGTTGCGACGCAACGAGTTCCGCCGATCTGTGGGCGGTGGCGGTGGCAGGGCCCCCAGTCCGTTCTCTGTGGCCACTGACGCTGCTGACAACTCCTTCCAGCTAAAATGTGGCATTGGCAATGGGCACGTGGCGAATATCAGCTCCTGACGCAGCGGCATCGCTGCCTGGTGGGCGGCAATCAACTTGAGGCATGAATAGAACTGGGCGCGTGAGATGTGCAACGCTGTCGAGGGAATCCCTGCCAGTCCGGTGATCTGCCGGAGATACGAGATTCACTAATTAGCTGTGTCACGATCGGAGGGTCGGGAATTGGACCTACCTCAATCAGCTTTGCGCTGGCAATGTCCGACGATCGAAAGAGCTCCGTTGCCTTGAGCATTGGCACCATGCCTGTCTTTTCTACATCGCAGCAATGAAAGAGTTCACTGTAGAAACGTGTCTCGGGCTCGGTAAGCGTTACGTCCATGCCGCCTACTTGTTGCTCTTGCTCTTGCTGCTGCTGTTGTTGCCAAGCCGAGTGTTAAGCTAGCCACGCCCCGTTCCGTTCCTTGGAACTCTGTGCCTGTGATCTATTTGTTTATTTCCACGCCTAAACCAAACAGACTGTCGGTGGTCTTGCGGCCCCTTGTCCCCTTCGTGACGAAGTCTCTCCTCTCTCGTTGTTGTTAAACTGCTGCTGTTGCTGTTGCTGCTGCTGCTGATGGCCCACACAGCGACAGAGTTGGAGGAGGTGGGAAAAAAAGTAGGCAAATAAGACCACGACAGCTCCACTTGCAATGGTTTTGCTAGCCTTACAAAGCCACCACAGCCGGGTTTGAGCTGGCGGGGATTAAAGCATGCCTTGCCACTTGTTAAGGGGCTACACCAGTTAGCTTAAGCTGCTCAATTTTCCAATCAATATAACTTTTTGGTCTAATTTTTTCGCAAAATGTTTCGCACTGTGTGTGCGCTGGCTTTCGATAGATGGATTTTAATGGTGCGATGTTTTTCTATCGATTAATCAGCTGGCGAGCAGCCCTGCTTGTGAGTGTGTACGCAGCCCTGAAACAAGACAAGTGAGAAGGTGGCGCAAGGTTTTTGCCGCTCTTGAATGCCGGATTTCATTGATGCACTTCAAGAAATTTCCGAATGAAACGTTCAAGGATGTTCTAGAAAACAATATTCAATAAAAATTAACACATAGTTCAAAAATAATTCAATATAGCTGCTATATAGCCCTGGACAAGTTACGTCGCTCAGGCTTTGACCAGCTCTTCCTTGCGTCACCTTCGTTGCTTCCCGTTAGCGATTCTGTTATTGTTGTCTGAGAGCAGCTGCAACGCAATTAAAAAGGATTTGGAATAGAAGTGTCTGTAGTAATTTTATAGGTTTAAACTAGTCAAAGATGTTTGCCAAGCGAAAGCCAGAGCCTGCCAAGCGACGACAGCACAATTTGGCCCAGGTAAATGGTTGAACTAGACAACTAGATCTGCTTATTTATGTATTATGAGTCATCGCTTCTTCATTCCCCCTACACTCTCACGCGACAGTTTGGCTTGACGGAAATTCCAGATGATTTCGATCCCACCTCTGGCTATGGGGATGACGATGGCGGGGATAGCGACCTGGAGGCAGAGCTGGCCGCCCTTGCCAGTGGAGGCGGCCAGAGGCCAAAGGCGAAGCCGAAGCCAAAGCTAATGCCCACCAGTGATTTGGACAAAATGATTGCCGACAGCTTGCGTGATGTCAGCGATGATGACGACGATGAAAATCTGGAAAATGACTCTGACCTGTTGGGCGAACTGCATGGCATTGGGGGCTTGGAGGAAGAACCGGAGGCAGAGGAAGCTGCAGCTGAACCGGCTGCTAGCGAGGAGGAACCTGTGCAGACGTTCTTGCCCACCACCACAGTGGATACTCTGGGCATAATCAAGCAGAGATTGGAAATATACAAGCAGGCGGAGGCGAATGCCAAGGCGTCGGGTGATGCTGGAAAGGCGCGTCGCTTTGGTCGGGGTCTCAAAACCTTGCAGGATCTGCATAAGCAGGCGGCTGCTGGAAAGACCATCAATGTGGATGATATCCCTCCTGAAGTGAGCGTGAAACCAGCTGGTGATCCGTTACCAGCTGCAGACGAATCTCCGGCTCCATCCACTCCAGTGTCGCAGCCCACACGTGTGGCTCCTGCTCCGCCCACTCCTACTTCACCACCGGCTGCAACTCCTCCTCCGGCGCCTGCCACGCCACCAAATCCACTTGTGGCCCAAATGCGCAGCCGTCAGAGCGAATACAAAGCTGCGGCCCTGCAATACAAGCGCAGTGGCGACACAGCCAATGCCCTGCAGTTCCTAAAGGTCGTGAAGCAGTTCGATGTGGTCGTCAAGATGTGCGAGGATGGTCAGGAAGTGGATCTCAGTGACATGCCCCCTCCTCCCTCCGAGTTTCTTGAGTTCCTAGCCAAGATGAAAGGTGAAGCCGCCCCAGAAGTGGTCACAGCTCCTGAGCCGACACCCGCTCCAGCTCCGGCTACCCCGCCTGCTGCTGCTGCTGCTGCAGAATCCATGCTGGAGGCACTGCAGCGGCGCTTGGAAAAGTATAAGTCTGTAGAGGCGGCGGCCAAGGCTGAGGAAAACACCGGCAAGGCGCGACGGTTTGGACGGATTGTAAAGCAGTACGAAGATGCCATAAAACAGTACAAGGCAGGGAAACCTGTGGCTTACGATGAGCTGCCTGTGCCTCCAGGTTTCGGACCCTTGCCCTCGACAGAGCCTGCTCCAGCAGCCACTCCATCACTGCCCACTTCGCCCACATCTCCGCCAGCTACGGCAAGCACTTCTGCGGGAGGAACTCCATCTGGGAGCAGTGCGACCACGCCAACGGTCCCACGAAAGGCGGCACCATCACCACCGCAGCCGACAGAGCTGACGACACGCGTCACTGGCAATCACCAGAAGAGCAACCTGGCCGAGCAACAGATGAAGCTGCTGCTCGAGCGCCAAAAGGAGTTCAAGGTGGCCGCCATCGAAGCCAAGAAGGCGGGAGAAATTGATCAGGCCAAGGAGTACCTCAAGATCTACAAGGGATTCGATTCGCTGCTCAATGCAGCCAGCAGCGGACTGCCCGTGGACCTCAGCACGGTTAGTTTTATGGGATTTATATCAAAAAGATATCAGTTTAACATGCAATCCTTTACAGCTGCCCGTACCGCCCTCTCAACGTGATAACTTGGAGGCCTCCTTTGCCATTGTTTCGGCAGAGGAATGCGATCCCAGCGATGACATCTGTGAGATCGGTGTACGCATGGAGGAGCAGCTAGCCAAGCAGCTGATGATGTGTAAGAATACGCGAGACCATCACAAGGCCATGGGCGATGTGGCCGGCATGAATCGCTTCGAAAATCTGGCCCTGACTGTCCAAAAGGACCTGGATCTGGTGCGTTACTCCAAGCGAAAGGGCCAGCCACTGCCAAAGTTCCACTACGAAAAGCGTAACTTTAATATTGTCCACTGCAACACGGATCTGACAGACAACGAGCTGGAAATTGTTGTGGCCCGTGGAATCAACTATAATGTTCCCAATCCCAAGGAAGTGGACACCTATGTTCGAGTAGAGTTTCCACTCCTTAACGTAAGCAAATACAAGTACAATTTGAATTTTTTCCCCTAACGCAATTGTGTACCCTTCCAGGATGAATCCTTCAAGACAAAAACCAATGTGATCAAGGACACAAACAGCCCCGACTACGACGAACGCTTTAAGGTGGACATTCAGCGCAGCAATCGCCAGTTCCAGCGAATCTTTAAGCGGCACGGTGTCAAGTTAGAGATCTATTCCAGAGGGTGAGTGGGTGAATCTTAGCACAATTCTTTAATCCGTACTAAGGCGCTTTCCATGCATTTTTTTCGGGACTAACAGAAGTGGTATATGGTTTAAATAATTAGTTATTGTTTTAGAGCATTTGAAGATTGAGCATTTCGTCAAAATGGTAGTTACTTCGATATTTTTAAAAACTTTTCCCATTCACAAATCCCTTCCACATGGTTCCACTTATTAAGTCACTTTTGGTCACGTTTCGACTTCAACGATATATATTCCCATAAAACATGTACTATGGTTGCTAAAATTATAATGGGAACTTCGCAGAGATGAAAATTTTACTACCCATATGGGTACCTAAGACTCACAAAAGGAAGCAGTTCTACTTTGGAGTGATTCCGGGAACTTTTTAAAGCATGTGAAGTATTCAAAAAGATTCAAATCATCCAATGTTCATAGACTCTTAAAGTCGATATTCCCTAAGACAGTTATTCATTACATTCCAAAAAGATTATTATTTAATTTCCCATTTAAAACGTATTTAGAAATTCGCTAAATTAGTTTAGATTGAAAGAAATTGTTTGTTTTTATATATATTTCTTTATAATTTGGCTTAGTAATATTTGTTTGCCTACAAATTATGCAATATTTGATTTGATTCCCTCCCGTAATCAGTATAAATTCTTTAGATCACTGCATTTCGGTCACGGCTTCAGCACCACACATAGATACATATATCTAACAGTAGTATATGATTATTCATATGCATTATCCATTGAATTCACTTGATTTCCCATGTGGAATGGTTTTAATAAAATATTCTCAAAATTGTTTACGCCTCAATTCCCAACAAAAAACAAACACCACACTATAAACTCATCTCAAAATGCCACGCGCTAAATAAATCGTAACCAAATAATAGCTGCAGCATAGATTGTTGTGGACTAAGTCGTAAACTGCCCCTATGTTGTTTCAGAGGATTCCTGCGATCTGACATACTGATCGGCACCGTCAATGTAAAGCTGCAGCCACTGGAGACTAAGTGTGATATACACGACACGTACGATGTGAGTTAACCTAACACCATGTGGCACCAGCAGTTCGTATAACTTGGTTATCTTTTATCTCGCACAGCTGATGGATGGCCGCAAGCAGGTCGGAGGCAAGCTGGAGGTGAAAGTGCGTGTCCGCAATCCCATCCTGACGAAGCAAATCGAACACATCAACGAAAAGTGGCTGGTCCTAGATGCCGAGGGCTGAACTGGATTTAGAGACTTATGTAGTTCTTTGCTTTAAGCAAACAAAAAGTATATTGTTTAAAAGAGAACAGGGATTCTACTTGTTTATGCTGTTAAGTGCCTGATCCTCTCTCTTTCTCTCTGTAAATACCCCGCCCAGACAGAGAATGCTTAATGGTTACGCTTTTGGCCGATTCCCTGCACAGGATGAGGGCATTTTATGCATTACGAACACAACACAGATTATGTACTATACACTAAATATTGTATATGATATATATATGTATATGGGTGGCTTTAAGGCGGAGGCGCATGTCCAGAAGTTTTGTGCCCAATGAAGTCAGTTCCAGTTCCATTCCAAGAGAGACAGATAGAGGGATGGCGCCTGGCCATAGCCTGATTATGTTTTTGTCATTTACTTTTGTCTAAATATGTGTGCGATAAACTGTTTTTCTTGAATTACAACTCCAGATATTCGACTATTTGTGAGAAGGGACTGGTCTCATTGAACACATCCACACCGCGGACTTTGTAGAAACCTGCAAGAAGACAAGGAATTAAAAATCTCTCTCTCTCTATTAAGGACCCTTCACAAACCATTCACTGATCCCGTCTGGCCGTTGGGTGCATACTGAAACGATGGATAGGGCAAGTGCCAGTCGCGGGATATCATTAGCCAGTCGGCGGCAGAACCTTGGCCCCCACGCTGCTTGAACCACACCTCGTAGCTCTTCAGACACTGCATGGACTTGGGATGCTCGCGCCAGCTGATGAACACCTCGCGGTGCGTGACCTCCACAATAGACAGCTGCTGCGGTCGCTTTAGTTTCGGCCACGAGGCGGAGCACACGCGCAACAGCATCGCCCAGGGCAGGGGTATGCTGGCCGAATTGATGACCAGCTCGCTGTTGTACTGCCAGATGGGACCCGTTTCGTAGAGCCGTGGTGTCTGCGCCCGGCGCATGGCCTCGCGCAGGTTGGCATTGGGATACGCTGGACTGCCTGCCTGGGTCCACAGATAGTATGGATCCGTGTTGTGCGGCATCAGAAGCTCGGTGATGAATGCCGACTCGTTGGCTATGGACATGTTTAGCGTGTACTTGTGATGGAAGGCCGTGATCTTTGGTACTGCCTCCTCGGGACTGAGGAAAATGGTGGCCATGTACTGGCCCGGTCCGCCCATGCCGCCGGAGACGGTGCGCCAGACCTGTACACTGTGCTTGGTGTCCATGTTTACCAGCTCCATGTCGGCAGCGCGGCTTCCCAACTTGGCCAGCATCCCCAGGGCAGCGTACACCGGCTTCTGTATGAACTGAGAGTGCGGCGGATTTGTTTCGTTCATCCGGAAGTGGGCCAAAAGGGTGCGCTGTGTGAACTCGTGCGGATGATAGCTGAGGAAAGCATTGTCATGGCTAATGGACTCCAGACGGCTCAGCGGACCGCCGGATAGCTTGGCATGCCAATGCTGCATCACCGTGGACATCAAAGTCACTCCGTACCGCACATCCGCCTGGAATTCGCGCGGTGTGCTCCACCCAGCCACAGGATCAGCTTCACTGTGGGAGAATCAAGATTTGGAGCTTACTCTTTACCGCACTCTTTGGATCTACTTACTCATTGGCCACCGGCAGTTGCTTAAGATTGGGATACTCCGTGTAGATCTTCGCCAGCAAAGACAGCGAAGCATTCACAACTTCCACGGCACTTCCGTTGAGTCCCTTGCGGTGAAAGGTCAGCACATCGATGGGGCAGTGGACCATACGTTGATTGCACAGCTGCAGCAGCTTCCAGCAACGTGGGTGACTGTTGAGGTTCTTGAACAGGCCTGCAGGGCCCCGCAGAGCCCGGTACATGGGCAGATTCGTGTGGGAATGGGCACCACCCGCCTTGCTGAGACCACGTCGAACGGCTTGCACATACTCCAAGTAGTAGTCCAGTGTTAGGTTGAGCGTGTTGTAGCCACTCAGATCTGGCTCGTTCCAGGTCTCGTAGCGCCAGTTGGTCATCCGGGCAGAGCCATGTCGTACTGCAGAAGGAAAGGTGAGAAGGATTGAGCTTCGGCGGCATGGTTTCCTGGGTCGAAACACACTCACCTATCTGATGATTGAGGGTAGTCTTCACGAAGTGGTCCCAGAAGAAGGAGATCTGCTGTGGATTCTCCGTGAATACCTGTCCCGGATTCCCCATGAACTCAAGAACCGGCGACAGGCGCAGCTCCTCGTGCAGAAAGTCAATAAAGTTGTCGAACTTACCAAAGTCGTACTGTGGCACACCGCTCATGTCGTACTGCAGGAACTGCACCAGCTCCAGCAGCCAGTGGATGCGTATGTGGGTCACAGCGCCCACCGGTAGGGCTGCAATCTGCCGGAGGTTCATTTGCAGCTCAGGGGCGCTCAGGGCGGCGCTAATCCCCTTGTGATCTATGTCACCGGCTGGACAGAAGCCCACGCCCGTCCAGAAGTGCGACAACGGATGGTAGACCACATCCCCGCTGGTGTAGTGGGCGTGGACGCGTCCGGCCAGGGTAGCCGTCAAGAAGAGCAGCAGCCCCCAGAGGAGCACCGGCGTCGTTGGCGGTGGCAACATTTCGAATGATTAGCCGGACCTTTCTCTCCGAGATTAAATCCGCTTTTGTTTTTGTCTTCGATTTGTCCGATGCCGAATGCTGATAAGAGCCGCCCCTCGCACGATGTGTCGTGTGTCTGTATCTGTTGCCCGCCGTGCTGGGCAGGGCCGTGCAGGGCTTAGAAAAGCCCTCACCGTGTCGTGACGTCACAGAAGCTGCTGTGGAGCAACAGCGTGCCAGTTTATCCACTCTCGCTCTCTCTCTCTATCTCTCTCTATGTCTATAAGTATGTCTCTGCTTTGTCTGCCTCATATCTCCCCCAAACGGTGAGGCAAAGAAATGACAAAAACATTCAGGGGAGGCTTTCAGCAAGGACCGAAGCTCTTGATACCCTTGCAGAAGATTCGTTCTATGGCAGATCTTAATCAAATTTGGATGAACTACGGGGAATCACATGAGATGGTTGGATGGAGTCTTGAAACCCTTTTAGAACGAACTTTCCAAAGACTGATCTATTATATGGTCATCCAATCTTTATAAAACTGAAACTAAAGATGTTTTTATGCTGCTGGAAAATGTTCAGCATCTGATGATTATATCACTCTTGAGTAGTAATAAATGTAAAATATCGATTCATAATCGTTTCTATAAAAGTGATCCGATCTTGTGTGTTATAGTTGGTATCTAATTGGAATTCTTCCGATGAAATAGTAATTGTATTTTAATGTTGATGAACTGCAATCTATAACATTTTTGGATATATTGATCCGATCTTATCAGTTGCCAGATATATACTATAGTAGTATCAGTAGTATGAAAAGGTTCAATCTCTGTATAGTTTTTTATAAGAAAAGACAGAAGGATGAACGCACATGGCTATATCGATTATGCTTAATAATGATGAATTCGAAATCGATTCCATCCTATCCAAAATGTGGTATTACCTTTGACGAGGGTATACAAAAAGCAGTCACACAAAACCTGGAGAGGGGACACATTGAATTGCAATCCCTCATTAGGGGTGGAAAAATGTGAGAGGCCGGTTGTCGGTATATCTATATATATGTATATAGAACTCTTACATATGCTTGGTGTGCGTATGTGTGGGTGCTGGTCGCGTGCCTGTGTTGGGGGAGTAAAAGGTGTGACGAAGATAATATTCCACGCATCTCAGCGATAATATAGCAATAACATTCTCATAACACATATCACATCCGAGGGTGGACTGGACCCGACTGGTATACAAAATGATTGTTTCCCCCCAACGAAATGACTGTCCGATTTGTGGGTCTTGGTTGTGGGATTAAGAGGAATTAAAGTAAATACAAAAAGAATATCAGAGGGATTTGGTCACGAAAATTAATTGGTGGTGGTATCTGAAAAATGGATTGTTGGAAAGAAAATAGCAAAAATTAAGAACCTTATAAGCCTATTGACTGTTTTTGACAATTATTATAATAAAACTTTATGGAAATAGTATTTCTGAAGCTTAAATGAATGAGGTTTATATTAAACCGCCATTTATTTAATGAATCATGAACATTTCTTTGCTGTTGAGAGATTACACCGACTTATGAGGAATGGGTTAGGTACTTTCGCTAACGAGTTTTATTTAGAATATCTTTATTCTTGTAATTATAAGATATTCTTTTCGATTTTCATTAAAATTTTCGGAATTCGGAACAATCTTATGAGTTCAAACTTTTTTAAAAAACCATACACGTTTCCAACTATTTGTAATAGTTTAAAAATAATTAAAGAACTTTCACTTCAAAAATAAACGAGTATGTGATACATTTTTAGCTATAATTTATTTAAATAAAATACATCTTTGTTCCATTACTATGAGTCTCCAGATTGGTTCCGTTCTATACCTCAACCAATGAATGCTTATATTCTATTATTGACTTGGGAGTGTATTCAAAAGCATTATCTATTATTCGCTGATGGGATAATTGATTTTTAGCTCCACTCTGTCTGCAAATATTCAATATTCCACAATGAAAACCAATTACTCTAATGGCCACTGAAGTCAGACGAATGATAACTAGGTCCCTGGTCATTGGCCATTTAATCAGATAAGTTTGGCCCCTGTTAGCCATATCCTAAAGCCGGGTGGTGTCGTGTCAGTGCCTTGTTGGCGATGTCACCGAACACTTGGGTAATAGAAATGCCGACACAGAAAGCGCGTTTGCATCCGTATCCACGTCGGATATCGCCGTATCGGACTCCCTCAGTGAATAGGTATGCCTTCAGTCATGAGACGCCACCACCACCACCACCGCCGCCTCCAAGGACTCTGGAGCATCCCGTCTTCGAGGACATCAGAACGATAATGTCCGTGCTGAAGGCCAGTGGGCTAATGCCAATCTACGAGCAGCTCTCCAGCCACGAAGTGGGGCCACCCACCAAGACCAACGAGTTCTACTCGTTCTTTGTGCGGGGCGTGGTCCACGCCCTGACCATCTTCAATGTGTACAGCCTCTTCACGCCCAGCTCGGCGCAGCTCTTCTACTCCTACCGCGAGACGGACAATGTGAATCAGTGGATCGAGCTGTTGCTCTGCATCCTCACCTACACACTGACCGTGTTCGTGTGTGCGCGCAACACCAAGAACATCCTGCGGATCATGAACGAGATCCTTCAGCTGGACGATGAAGTGCGCCGCCAGTTTGGGGCCAATTTAAGCCAAAACTTTGGCTTCTCGGTGAAATATCTCTTCGGTATTGCCGCCTGTCAGACGTACATCATTGTGCTGAAGATCTATGCGGTGGATGGCGTAATCACGCCCACATCCTACGTACTACTGGCCTTCTATGCCGTACAGAATGGTCTGACAGCCACGTACATTGTATTTGCCTCGGCTCTGCTACGCATCGTGTACATTCGATTCCACTTTATAAATCAGCTCCTGAATGGATACACCTATGCCCAGCAGCAGCGGAAAAAGGGCGGCCATAGACGACAGGCGGCAGGGGCTACACTCATGGAGAACTTCCCCGAGGACTCGTTGTTCATATATCGCATGCACAACAAATTGCTGCGCATCTACAAGGGCATCAACGACTGCTGCAACCTAATTCTGGTCTCCTTTCTGGGCTACTCCTTCTACACGGTCACAACGAACTGCTACAATCTGTTTGTCCAGATCACAGCCAAGGGAATGGTCTCATCGAATATTCTTCAATGGTGCTTTGCCTGGCTGTGCATGCATGTCTCCCTGCTGGCCTTGCTGTCTCGCAGTTGTGGTCTAACCACCAGAGAGGTGGGCCCCAATCTCAATCAGGGATAACTGATTTACTAATGATTTCTGTATGGGTTTATTTCCAGGCCAATGCCACATCCCAAATCCTAGCCAGGGTCTATGCCAAGAGCAAGGAGTATCAGAATATTGTGAGTTCTTAAAGGAAAAATCTATGAAAATTATTTTATGAATTCGAATTGGCTTTTAAGCGCTCTCTTCTGGCTTTTCAATAATGTTTTTAGAGAGACTGAGCCAGCTCAAAATTCTGCCTAAAATTTGTATTTATATTGTCTTTGGTCTCTTCTGTAGATTGATAAATTTCTAACCAAAAGCATAAAGCAGGAAGTACAATTCACGGCCTATGGATTCTTTGCCATAGACAATTCCACACTCTTCAAGGTGACTATTGTCTGTGCGTAACAGGTGTTCAAATAAATGACTAAAAATTTGTTAAATCTTAGATCTTTTCGGCTGTGACCACTTATTTGGTCATCTTGATACAGTTCAAACAGCTGGAGGACTCTAAAGTGGAGGACAACATACAGGACCAGCAACAGACTTGAATATAAATTATACTTGTCCTCTTAAATTTATTTGCTTTAAAAATATTACGACAATTTTGCTAATTGCATCAAAGTAATAAAATAAGCACCAAAATTGGCCGCTAATACAATCCAAAGGATTTTTAGAATTTAAGAAACCGACGCCTGGCTTTAAAGATATTATAATGAAACGAAGAAATTTTTCATTGATCTGTGGAACGTAAGATTTTGTGGGGTTTGCAACTTTTGTCTAGTACTTAAATCTAAATGGTCCTAACAGTTCAACACTTTGGACTTGCCACGTGTCTCCCCGAACAGCCATGAGCAAATGCGATCCAACAGAAAGGCACCAATGATGTCCGCCACCAGGACAGCGAGCAATACGCAACGGAACTATAAAGGGAAAATTAATGTATAGTCTCGCATAATGGCTTGCAAATGCATATACGTACATTTGTGGGGAAATCAATAATTTCGAAAAATTCCGTCAGATCGGGCACCAGGCCCGTGGATAACAGCAGCACCAACGCGGCTGAGGCGCCAATGGCATACATCAGCATGAGATTGGAGCGCAGACTCTCCATGAAGGGATGCCCCTGTTAATTAAATATAGGATTATATTATATAGTTCCTTTCGGCAGGGATCGGTCTAGTTCCTACCTTATAGTTGACTGCAATGGTGGCCACCTGCAGTGATATGCTAATAATGTAGACCGTGCTGCTAACAATGTTTGGATCGTATTTGGTCTTCTCCTCGGCATCCATGTCAATATACAGCTTAACTTTGCCCACTCTAGGAAGAGAAAAAAAAGAGTTAGTACCAATATAGAGGAGTATTATAGTAGTAGACCCACCTTGGCGGTGCCAATTTGGTGGCTTCATTGGTCAAGTAATAGAGCGTGCCAAAATGCACTGCAAATTGCGAGAGGATCGTAGAAATTGTATAGAAATTGAAGATGTTTGGCAGTGGTGCGACCTTCGACAGAGTTTTCAGTGGCTGCAAATAGAATTGTGAGTACAGTGAGCCATAGACCTGTTATAATTTCTAGACCTTGGATCGAGTAATAAACAGAAAACAGGCCGCGATGAAGATGCCCTGCATGGTTGCCTGAGTATCGCTGAATTTGATGCCATCAATATACAGCACGGATTGGCAGTAGGCCTGAATGAGGGCATTCAGAGCGAGGATCTTGAACATCTGCAGTGTGGTGACCAGAGTGCAGCGTCCCTGCTTGATTATGTGATTGACTGATACGGAAAATATAGAAAAAGGAAGATCAGAAATGCATCAAAAAGGCTGTGAAATCCCAGGGCTACCCACCACACATGATCGAGGACGATTTGCTGGTGAACGGCGCCGCAATTGAGGCATCACCCAACTTAACCATCGTCTGCTCTTCCATGTCGCGCAGAGCAATCTGCATGCGAGCTTGCGACTGATTAAGGTGCTCCTGTCGCCGGCGCATGGCACGCTCTCGCGGGCTCAACTGTTGGTTGGCAGTGTTGGCAGCGGCGGCCGTGGCTGCAGCCGCTGCTGCGGTGGCCAGCTGCTGTTCCTCTTCGGTGCGCTTGCGCTTCGCGGGCGCGCTGGTAAGCAGAGAGACGCCCACATTGGCGTGCTTCAAGGCCCCCACATCGTTGGTGCCGTCGCCGCACATGAGCGTGCAGAAGCCCAACTGTTTTAGCGTGGTGATCACAAACTCCTTCTGCTTGGGTGCAAAGCGTGCGCAGACTGTCACGTGGGGCAGCAGCTGACGCATATACTGGGGTTGATTGTGCTGTAGATGCAGCAGTCCCTCGCCAGTAATACACAGATCGTGCGTGGCAAGCATGGGAGATATGCTCTTGCTGCGCTCGTCCATTTTATACGACTGCTCTCCATCGACGGATATCCAGTTCCAAGTGTTTCGCTTTGCCGGTTCGGGCGGGGTCAGGATGAGCAGCTTCTTGCGTGTGAATCGCAGCTCTTTGGCCACATGGCAGGCAGTCAGCGGACTGTCGCCTGTGATCATAACCACTTTGTGGGAGGATTGAATGAGCTCCTTGATCGCAGTCTTGGAGTCGGGTTTCATGGGGCACGAGATGATCACGAAGCCGGCAAAGGTGAGATCGCATTCCACTTCATCGCGCTTCAGTTCGCGTATTTTCTGAGTTCCCATGCTGCCAAACTCCTTGATGCCCAGAGCCAGGACACGGGCGCCACGACGAGCATACTCGAGATAAACCTATTTACAAGAAGGTTAATGTTCGCCTAATTTTCTTTTAATTGTGCACTCACCTTCTCATAGTCCGACGGCACTTCCCGCAACATCTTCTGAATAACTTCGGGTGCTCCCTTGACGGCTCCAATGTGCTTCACTTCGTTGGAGTAGGGCACCAGGTAGCCAGCGAGGACCGACATGCGCTTCAGGGCCGATGAAAAGTGATAACGTTGAATGATCTTCAACGGCTTCAACTGCGTCCGCTTCGGTATGACACTGTCCATTTTGGTGAGATTCCAATCGACGGCTGCCAAGGTGGCCTTCTCGAGGGGATCGCCCACCAGCCCATCGTCCAGCAGGGCCAGCGAGTGGCAGCAGGCCAGGACCTGAACAGTGTTGGACTCTGCCTGCTCGATGGGCACACAACTCCCATTCGATGTCAGCCCCGCAATGCCCTCCACCATGAGGTTATCCGTAGTTAGTGTTCCCGTCTTGTCGAAGCAGCAGATCTGAACCTTTCCAGCGAACGGAATGCGGAAGGGTTCCGTACAGAATACAAACAATTTGGTCAACTGGATTAGCGATGTATTCACAGCCAGGGTGAGCTCAATGGGGAGATCGGGCGGTATGATGGCCGTCAGAATTAGAGTGCACTCGAGGAAGAGCTTGTAGCGGTTGCGCTCCAGATCCTCGCTGCCCTTTACCCACACATAGGAGGCTGCGGCCACAGCAAATACCATGAGGAAGGCAATAAACGCAAAAGTCTCCTTGTTATTCTCTGTGGCGCGATTGGCACCGAACAGAATCGTGCGCAAGAGTTTACCCTGCGATGTGTTGAATCCCGTGCGGATCACATAGCCAATGCAGCCGCCATCCGGGGCACGCAGCGATTCCTTGGTGGGGGCCGTGTGCTGCACCACTTTGGTGCCACCAAAGAGCACAAACAGCTTTCCATCACCGTCCACATCCAGTTCGGTATTCAGGTTGTCCAAAGACTCCAACGATTCCTTCATCAGCGGCACCGATTCGCCCGTCAGCATCGATTCATCTACAATACATGTGCCGCGCAGGATAACCAGGTCACAGGGTACAATATTATCGTTCTGGGAGCGGGTCACGGACACTAGATCTCCAGGAAGCAGCTCGTCCGAGCCAATGTGGCGCCACTTGTTCTGACGAAAGGCATAGATCAGATACGGTTTGTTACCCATTTTACGGATCTCGGACATATTCCTCAGCTGCTGCTTCACAATGGTGCACTCGAAGGCAATCAACATGAAGAGCGTGAACAGGGAGTAGTACCAGTAGTCGTCCATGCACCACAGTCCCACCGAGAACACTTGGAACACAAAGAACGGTGCAGTGGCCCGCTCAAGGAAGAGTTCGTGGAACTCTGGTACCACCATATCCATCTCGTTATTTCCATACGTGGAAGTGGCCTTCTTCACAGCCTCTTCTGACTCCAGTCCTCGAGAGGCGGCATAGTTTCTCAAGAGTCCGTCCACGGGAAACTCGACGGCGCGAAAGGTTTTCCTATCGTCGTTCCACACATATTTTGTCTTCTGAAAGACCAGAAAATACTGCGTTGAACCATCCTCCAGTTTGGCGGAGCGTATCGGAACTATCTTTGAGTTGCCATTGTTCGCTGTGGGCACCACCTTGGCCAGGACATTCGGGGCCGGTCGCTTCGCTTTGCGGCAGGTAAGAAAGGCCAGGACATGAACGCTCCAGTAGCAGAAGAGTAATGTGAGAATGTGTAGAAATGCTATGGCCAGAACGGCTATGAAGCCAATGTCATTCCAGGCAATGGTCGAGTCCGTTGTGCGGTTTTCCGACGAGATCAACTCTTGAGTGGTGGGAACATCCGCGTCCTCGCCGCCGTACATGTAGATGCATAGGTATAACGCAGTCAGGTATAACGGGACAAAGGGCAATACCACTCCGCTCAGTGGCGTTGGCATGCGCACGTGCAGGGTCACATATTTCACCAGATCGTCCAGGTTGCCGGCCGTCGTCGCCCCGTTTTTAGATAGCCTTTGGTTTGGGTCGGTGTCGCCGGCAGCGCCTTCGATGGTATCTTCTCTCGTACTCATGGGTTTATCCTGGTTCTTTCAGTCTCCAAATGTATGTTTTCTTACAAATTAAATACGATTCTTTACAGATTACAAAAGTTTCATAGCGGCAAAAAAAAATGTGAAAAAAAGAAGCAACGTCGTCGAACGAAGAAAACTGTGTGTCAGCTGATCCTATCGATGTGTATCGATATATTGCATCGGTCTATGTCGTTTGCCAGCACTGTATTTGGTTAAACCGCCGATTTTTTGTTTATAGTTTTCAATTTATTTTTAGCATTAAAGAAACTACAATAGCGGCCTGGAGATGGAAAAGTCTGTGGCTGCGCTGGCTGTGTCTCCTGTATGCGGAATCTACCTTTTGTAACCGGCTGGGCCCCAGTCCTTGTGCACGTCAAGGGATTGACAGATGTTTGTTTATTATTATGTTTTGCCCTAATATCCGTATTGATCGATCAGTGGTTAGTTATGAATTAGTGGACTGCATAATTTTGACTAGGTTTTATCTAATATATTTAGTGATTATACAATATTGATGTTCCCAAGATATTGAAACCCACTTGTCTTTTAGTTTAATTCACGTTTAAATTTGTAGAGATATGAAAATAGGAAACAGCAGTTTTGCACAGGCTGACCCACACACGCATAAAAAGGGATATATGTATGTATAATATTGTGATGATGTGGGGATAATCATTCATCCAGAGTATCCATAGGAGACTTCATGGACGGGTCGGTGGGTTTGCCGGCCGCCGCAAAGGCCATCTGTATGTCTGTTTGGGACTCGCGCTTGGGAGTGACCCGCTTGTGTTCATTGGTGAAGCTCACACTGATGCGTCCACTGCCACGTACGGCGGTCATCGGGGGACGAGTCAGTGGAGTGGACAGGCGAGCGGCAGCTGTCGGTGCGGGTGGTTGCTGATAGGGGGCGTGTAATGGGGGACTGACAGATTTCGTGGATGTCTCCTTGCGCACATCTACCACAAGTGCCTCACGTCGGGCATTATCCTGGAACTGCTTGACGCGATCCCTCATTTCTGTTTCGCGCTTGATTTCCTTCGAGATTTCGGCGCGACGCTTGTTCTCGTACCGTTCCATGGCCTGCTGATCGCGCTGCTTGTTGCGCTCTACAATGAGATCGGCGATTTCCAGGCGCTTCTTCAAGAGTGCCTCCTTGTCCAGCTTCTGAAACATCTCTGGCCAAACGCCCTTCTCCTTCTTTACCAGCACGATGCGGGCCTCGTTCTTGAAGATGCGGCAAAAACTGAACGAGAGTTATCATATCATTACTCACGGAGGAATATACATATGTATAGAAGGTGTGATAATAACCTGGCCATCTCGTCGATCTCTTGGGCCAGATGACGCTCAAAGAATATGGGCGGATTATTGAACTTCAAGTACTGGGGCAGAAGGACAACGTCCGGCTTCCGTGTCACCAGACGATTGAGTTCAATTGAAATTTTGATGTCGTCCTCGGTCTGCGATATCTGCACCATGATGAGCTTCGCTTCCGTTGCCGGTATGCTGTCGTCCTCGCGAGTTATTTCCGACTGAGCAATCGCCCAGTGCTCAAACTTATGTTATAGGCTTCCCGGAATTTGTGAGAGCAGCAGTTTAAGCTGACAACTGCGACAGGGCCAACACTACAACTACAATACAATGTTCACTTGGAGTGCATATTGGTTCGATTTACTTTAATTTGAATATTAACCAGTCTTCGAATAGCCAAGCCGGCCGCGTGGCCTATCGACCAAACAACGATTGGCCATACACATCCATCCATCCATCCCCCATGCTTGGGATTGGGACTCGGCCGGGACTTCACTCCCAGACACACACCTGTAACATTTTATGCATTTGCATTTTTGGCAAGACAAGATAACGTGGCCTAGTCCAGGAGCTGCCTGCCTGCCTGCTATGCTCCTACTCCTCTGATTGAATTAGTCGCAGCTCCAACACGCGAAGCGAATTCCTATTTGCATAGCACATGCCACTCAATAACAGTTTCCCTCGACATTGATTGGCAACGGGTTAGTGTTTTATGGAGCCCATGCGATGCTATGACGCGTACATATATTACCATTTATTTGACTTATTTGATTTCCTCGATAATTTGCTTTGTGAATTAGAGGAAACTTTTATATGAACGACAAATGTTTTGATTTGTTTTATACCTGGCGTTGCATTTGCGACGCAATATTTACATATGAAACATGTAATATAATAGAGGTATAAGATCAGTAGACCACCAGATTGCTATTCCACATGTCCTGCCTGTAGGATTCTTGATTCTAAATCTACTGATTTTTATAGATGAGCTGACCCTTAAATTACTTGAAGGGGAAACGCTCAGAAGGGGAAACAATAGATCGCAAACGTCTAGGCAGTACATTAAAAAAACATTAAATCACACCTAAAATGTTTATATGCACATATTCAAGAATATAAGATCAATTGATAAACTCAATTGGCTGTCATGTGCCTGGGTTCATCGCTTCCCAATCAAATAAATATGTACAAACAATGCATTTAAATTGACATGAGAACCGTGGCAACCAGCCAAGATTAGTTACGAGAACTAACGACGTAGCTATGGTAACTTAAGGTTCATTCACTTCTTTCTTTTCTGAAGGGGGAATTCTGACGATGCGATCGCACCAATCAGATGATTAGGCTGAGGAACGCCTTGGATAGGAATGTTTTAAGTTAAGAAAATCCAATGGAATCGAATCCAATGGATGCTATCAATTTGTATGCTTCTGTCTGGTTATATAGAAAATTGTAATATTATAGAACATGTAACTATGGAAATAGAATGAACGTACAACCGCAATCTAAGGCAACGTTACAGAATTAATTAGTGACTAACCGAGAATTATTAATGACTTTTTTTTAGATAAGTTACATAAATTACTGGGCATCATTTGATTATATTTATTGAACTTTCAGGCAGGACTTTTGCCACTTTGCGAGGCTCCTTAATGGTAGTCAGTGGACACTGCATCTCGCTCCAGCCCACCGGTACCATAGGCACTCGGGTTTTACGGGCATCGCTGGCATAGGCTACGACCACACCGAGCTCTGTTTCGGCAGTAGTTATGAGAAATGATTGTTCCATTTGATTGATGACGCGGGCCAGTATCACATCGCCAGGCTTGAACGACTTGTATATGTCGACACGATCCTTTTCCGTTTCCCGCACGTCCTCCTTCCGCAGCAGCCCGCGATAGCTGCTCTCCAGCAAGACGTTTCGCACGCAGAATATGGCACACTTGGCGAACTTTGGTGTTGTGACCAGAACACGGGCTGTGACGACGTCCCCGGTGGCCGGAATGGTCAGGTGGAAGCCTGGCTTGTGAACACTTACAACCTGACACTGCAAAGAGGCAATTGGTTGGTTCAATTTATTGCGGCAGGTTGTCCCTCAGGCCAACTTACGTTTTCTCCAGATTCTTCAATGTTCACGACCCCCGATTTGGAGGCGTAGATGTAGCCGTTCTGTTCGTATGTGCCTATGCCCAAAACAACATTGTCTTCTACTCGGCACAAGCGTTCTCCTGGCAAGCACACAACTGTGTTTTCATCTCCTTCTGAGCTCATTTTTTTCAATTTGTTGTCAAAAGGCACATGTGTGCACAGAATATCTATAGGTAATATCGGAATGTTTTTCGATGTTTTGAGAACAATCGATGAAACATCGATGTTTTAGAAAAAGTACAGCTCTAGTTGCCGGCGTCAATAATTTAACCTTTTCCGGATTGTTATTAGTTCAACATGGATGTTAATATGAGCTACCGCGAAGTTGCGACTAAAAACCTGAAGCCAGCAGACTGGATAGATGTTACGATACATACGGGTAGGTTGTTCCAGATAAAAAGAGAGACCATTCATTAATTTCCATCTGCCAGGAGATACACTGAACAGTCTGCAGGACTCCCAAAACTTTGAGATATCTGGCGGACATTCTTACAAAAACAATAATGTGATGTACCGGAACCGATTCATATATTGGTAAGTTAATTTGTGAACAAATCGGTAAAGCAACTAAAATTTTTGCCTAAAGGCGGACTAACAAGTCGGTGCTGGAGCTCGGAGAGGTGAGCTTGGATATATCACTTGTCAGGAACCAACTGCGTATGCGATTCAATGAGTCGACTGTGCTCAATGTTTCCCTTACGGAGCAGCCACAAGCCATTACACTGTTGGTTGTCACTGTGAGCAGTGTCCATCGATATGTGTTTCCACTGAAGACGGCTACTGTAGAAGTGGGCGCTGCTGCTGGGCCAGACGATCTGCAGTCACAATCTATATTCTATGATGTGACTGAAAAGATCGACGATCCAAGTGCGTACTTTCTTACGGACGGACTTGGAATGCCCACTGTCGCTGCTTCGTTTATGTCGAAGCACGCTCAAGTAGCCCACTTTGCGGTGGCCTACCCGAACAAGCTGCTGCACCACGTGATGAACTGTGTCGATGGCGCTACTGTAACGCAAGAGGTCAAGGAACCGCATCTGATGCCTCGGTTTCTGTACAAATTTGCGGGTGCTCTGAGGTGAGTGCCGCAGCTTCTGGGTCATGCCATACCGATTTAATGTTGTCTTTTTCTGCTATTTTATTAGACGAGCGGAATCTGTGGATGCGGCCAATGACATGTCATTCAGTGAAATCGATGGCAAGACCTATCTTCTGGTTGTTTACAGGAGTAATGAGCTGCGACTCTGGTCATTGGATACTATGCAGGCAGTATCCACCATTAACTGCTGCTCTGGTGGGGGTGTAGGAGCACCAACAGCACAAGGACGTAAGTGTTCGAATTCTAAAGCTTAAATTTGTGCAGCTGCTAATTGCATATTTGGTTTATTTTTGCAGCACAAACCAATGTGATACGAAAAATTGACGACCGAAACTTTTGCGTCTTCCTCTCACACGACGAAGGGGCCGAGTTTGTTTGCGTGCAAATCGACAAGAATATGACGGATGTGGGTTCTAGAGACATAGAATTGATTGTGAAGCACACAGTGGTGGCACCAGACATGGATCTGATCGACTTTAATGTCACCCTCACACACATCTGGGCGCTCTGGAGCAATGTTGAAGGGGATTTTAATGCCTCGACGATTCATTATGGCTCTAATCAGGCCATTCAATGGGTTTCTTCTGTCCTAGAACCGCCACCGGATCGTTATTGTCTCACCACGGAGCAGGGAATCGATCCACGCGAGGCCTACTGCTCGTACATCTTCCATCCGGGTCGATTCGATCGGACTGTGATTACCAAGGCCTTATATGTGAGTATATCTTTGCCTGATATGTAGATTATTCTATTGTTGATTCCCCCCAAAAGATGTTCCGACGCGTCAACCTGCAGTTTGATGTTAGGCAGCTGTCGATGACAGTGCTCAAGGAGCAGGTGTGCCAGGCCGTCGAGGATGAGATCCAGAACGAGTTCAAGGAGTTTGTGGTCAGTGATGAGGAGTATCTAGAAATCGCCACTAGGCTATGGGATCGTTTCTACTCCTGCTGCGAGCAATACCACATCAAGTACTCGGAGCCCATTGGTTTGTCCATATTGGGTGGCATGGATGCGGCATGCCTCATCAGGCGGCAATCTTTTGCCCTGCTACGTCCATGCGAACTGTGGGAGCATATTCTGCTCATTGGAGAGCAAGCCACAGATGTGGCCTCGCTGATGTCCCCATTCTTTCAAGACAATCTCTCAATGTCGACGGCATTCGCTGAGCTAATAAGGATCGTCACTCAGGTGGAAAAGACCCTCCCAGAGGATGTCAAAATGGAAATGGATAAGAAACTGTATCAGCGAGAGTCGCCCATCGATCTTGTGGCCAAACTGGTTGCCAAAAGCCTAGATGATGACGACACTGGCGCCATCTTCCCAATGGACACCGTTCAGAAACTGAAGATCGAGCTAGAGCAAATACCCAACCTACAGGACGCTGTCGATATGCTGCTGAATATTCTTTGCGTGATCGATCCGGATGCACCGCCGTCAAACGGTAGAGTTAATCCTTATAGCTTCATTCATATTATTATTGTCTTATTCTCTATTTTCTCTTTGCAGATTATGCCAGGTCCACGCGTTTTCTGCTGCCAACTGGGGCATTGTTTGGCAGCGAATACGGAATATCCATTCTAGCCGAGACGTTCAAACAAATGGCTTTGATACGGTACAATATGAATACAAATATATTCCTGATTTAATCTGCATCTAATTACACTTAATATTATATCTCCTTTGCAGCTTTTCCGTCTGCCGCAATTTACTCATTGTACTTTACATTTTGGACCAGGAACACTGTGAGACGGATCAAAGTTTCCTTACGACGACTGAGAACTACATGAGATCGTATTACACTCTTGTTTGGATGGCCGTGACACCCATTTCCTCGAATACCCCAGCAGGCTTGTAAGCAAAAAGACCCTGAATCCTAAACATTGAATGATTATAATCGTGTTCATATTATAGTGAGGCTTCCATTCAGCGCCTCAATCGGGCACAGCTCTTTGATGGCTATTCTCGACCGTACTCAAGCCATGTGCGTGGCTATGGGAATGACCAGACCACGCTGCTCTGTTTATTCCTACGTTCCAAGGGTCTGTTCAGTGCTCTGTCGAAGCTGCTGAAGGAGTCGAGCATGCAACTGGAGACGGAGCCAGCAACATTGCGTCAAACGCTGCTGAAGCTGGTTACCTACAGCAATCAGATGCTGTGAGTAAAGCCCTAGCCAAATATTTGTAGGTTCTTTATGTACTTTATTTATGTTTATGTCTGTCCTTTCAGATGGCCCGAATCTCCCAGCTATGTATTCCCAGAATGGCTCTATGGCACATGCCATCAAATCATTGTGCAGGATTATGTGCGCCTGCTGGCCGACTGGTGCGAAAGCAAATCCTATTGTCGTGAGTAGTCCGTCGAAGTTGCTTATCCCATCAATGCCAAATCCAATCTTTATTTCGCAGGAGCCTTTATGCTGGCTGTGACGCTGTTGGATTGCGGCGAGACACAAAAGGCAGTGATCATCTTTCAGAATACAGCTGAAATGGTGCTCGACGATGCATTCCTCATTGAGCACGTGCTGAAGACCACACCGCTGTACAGTCAAATGAAAGAGAGCCTCGAACTGGGCAATGATGATGGACCATCAGTGGAGGATAGAAAACAGGCGATGGTGCATTATTATCTGAAGGTTATACAGCTATTTGAGCAGTATTCGGCCGTCGACTACATCATTCAGCTGGCTCTTACGGCCATAAGCAAGCTGGGGGATCATGATCCACAGTTGCCGATGTTCCAGTCTATAGTCTTCAATAACCATATGCATCTGGGCCACTACGAGGACGCGTATCACGCTTTAATCTACAATGCCGACATATCACGGCGCAAGGATTGCCTGCGTCAGTTGGTGGTGACGCTGTTTCAATGCAAGAACCTGGATCTGCTTATGAAGCTCCCCTACAATGGGCTGCAGAACGAGTTCGAGAGCATTGTGGAGTCGCGCGCGCGCTCTTTGAGCATCGATCAGAATGACGTCTATAACTTTTTGTATGCTTTTCACACGAGCAAGGGAAATATGCGTAAGGCTGCCACAGTCATGTATGAGCAGGCCATGCGGTTGCAGGTGAGCAGCAATGACCCAAAGGCACTGGAAAAGCGTTGCTCCGCGCTCCTGATTTGTGTAAATTGCCTGAATTTGGTCGACAGTCGGTACAGATGGATAGCCAAGCCAATCATTGGCGACGAGCGGGAGTCGACGGCTATGGATTTGGATAACGAAGATGATCTGCCGCCGATCGACGATGAAGTGCTGGTCCTAGAGCTGGACGACATACGTCGCGAGCTTGTCTACAACGTGGCATTGAAGGAGCTCTCACACTATCGAAAGGACATAGCCGCCTATGTGCTGGCAGGGGCAGAGGAGCTATCCTATCTCCTGGGAAGCTATGGTCTGTATACGGCTGCCCTGAAACTGTCCCGCGGGCACAAATTCTCTGTGCTGCCGACATTTCAGAGCCTGGCTGCTGCCTGTGTGAGCGCCACAGAAGAGGCGGCCAGCGATGCCTGGGATTGGCTGCAGAACAACGATCTGGCAGGTGCATAAATCTGGCTAAATTATAAAATTTCAATTGATTTAATCTCTGATTATCCTCTTATTAGATCTACCACATCGTAACAATGCCGCAGATATGGCATGGTCCCTGCTGCAGAAGCTGATACTCGACCACGAGCTCAAGGACTCGACAGTCATACGCAAGAGCGTCGTGAACCGACTGCTCACGATGAACGCATTTGTGCCCAAGTGGCTGTACGACTCCTACAAGCTGAGCAATTCCCGCGAGCTGTTGCAGTTGTACGTCAGGCACAATCGATTGCTGGAGGCCGCCGATATGGCCAGCGAGATGATCTGTGCCATGCTCGGGGCAGGCAGCGAATACTTTGATTTCCAGCAGTCGATCAATGTGACGACTCCGCAGCTCGCATTCCCCATCAACACAATTGATCTGCTGCTGCACGCCCTGAAGGTCAATGGCAAGGAAAATTCGGAATACGAAGTGGCCTGCATTCAGCTGGAGGAGGATGTGGCCAGATACATTGAGACTGTCAGCCGTACCACATCGGATAAAATGAAAGTGGCCATTTTGCGGAATCGGGAAGAGCAGCAGCTGCAGGCACTACGCCAGTAATTCAGTTTATTAAGTAAAATGTATGTTTTTCGAATTAAATGCTAATCTTAAAAGTCGTCCGTCATGAGCAGTTCGGACATGAACTTTTTGTAAATGCTCATGAATTGGGCAACAAAGGCCTCCAGGTGGAAGATGTGCTTGGCGCCGTTTTGCATGCGGTGCTCGTATTCGGTGGCCAGCTCAAGCGTTTTTGCCTTGATGGACATATCACAGTTGCTGACCAAATGCTCGACCAGACCGCGGAATATAAGATTGGGTGGTACGCCCTGCGTTAGTAGTTCGTACAAACGATCACGTATCTTCTCCAGTTTGGCGGGCGTCTGCTCACTGATGATCTGTGAGGCAGTTTCACGCAGAAAGACCTGCCAGTCCAGGTCGGGGACTTCCTGCTGGGCCGTAAACGGTGACTTGGCCACCTTGGCAGCCTCGAGCATCAGCAGAGCGCGCCTCAGATTCCGTTCAGATTTGTCCACCACCCGCTTGGCCAGCTCGACGGGCAAGGCCAGGCCCTCGCGCTTGCAGGTGCTCTGCAGAATGGCGGTCATTTCTGCCTCAGAAGGCGCGGCCACGCGAATTCCCAGGCAACGAGATCGTATGGCTGGGATGATGCGAGAAGTCGAATTTACCGACATTATGATGCGGCACGTGGCCACGTACTTCTCCATAGTGCGACGCAGAGCGTGCTGGGCATCCTTGGTCAGCTCGTCGCCCTCTGAGATGACAATCACCTTGAACTCCCGCTGGCCGTTAATCTCGATTTGGTGGGTCTGGGCCACCTGTTTGATCAGATCGATGACCACCGTCCTGTCGTACATGCCCGCATCCGACGGGTTCACCTCCAAGTGGTAGTTGCTACTGACAGTCATTACCTCTACCTTTCGATTGGATGGCGTGGTAAAGGTCATTGTTTCACTCCTCAGGCGCTCCACGCCGGCTCCATACATTTCCCGTAGTAGGCACATGATGCGCGTCTTCTTACCGGCGCCGGATGGCCCGTAGAACATGAGGTGAGGAAAGTCACTCTGCTTGCATAGGTTGCGCAGGTTTTCGGCTTGCTCCTGTTGTATGCAAAAATTAATGGAAATTGAGTTTTTTTTTTCAAGAATGTATACACAGCATTTTAATGGCGACAGCGTTTTTTACCTTGTGGAAATCTAACTTTGTTAGTTCCCGGGGCCGGTATTTATCCACCCAAAGCGCCATTAAAATATATAACAAAATCTGAGTTAAATGCCGAATTTGATTTGTTTTGTTGGAGATCGCGCCTTTTTGCACAATTTCTAGAGATGAGAGAAGCAACGATGGTAACAAAATATCGAAATTATCGAATTGTCGCAGATATATATACATACTGTATGGTTAGTGATTCAAATCAATTAATGAAAAGAAACAGTGAACAGATTCTTTGCCTCAATTTCCTCACTATACTAGTTCATTTTTAAAATTTTGAATTTTGTATATATTTTATGCGATACACACACAATCATCGATACTATCGATGTTGCCATCGATGTTTCTGCAGCTCTATAATAAATCAACACTACTTTGCTACCACATACACAAATTCTGCGGCGTTGTGAGGAGAATTGCATTAATTTTAAGGCTTTGTTGATCAAATTCTAGACGAAGACGCATGGAGAACGGCGTGGAAAATGGTTCACTGGTCGATGGCGACCAAGTAGACGAGTGTGGCGAGAACCAGGTGGTAAGCAGCTCTGAAGGTGAGGGCGATGGGGAGGGGGAGGCTCAGCAGCCGCCGCCGCTGCCGCAAACAACAAATAATTGCGAGGGGGATGGGGAATGCGATTTGTCGACACCGACAACCGCCGTAGCCATCCCGGATCCAGAGCCAACGGTAGTCGATATTGCAGCAGCACCCGCGACCATACTAGACGACAGTCTCTGTGAAAAGGATGTGGACAGTGATGCGCCGGACGACGACAACGACGATGAGGTGAGCATGGCTACTCACAAACATATCTGCCCGCCTGTGCTCACACATGCACCTTTAAATTTTAGGCCAAGGAGAACTACGAGGGCTTCAATGGCACCGTCGGACGCAACGTTACTCTGCAAACGTTGATGGCCGCCAATGTGCTGCAGCCCGGCAAGGGTCTGATGACCATCGAGTACCTTGGCCAGAAGTTTGTCGGCGACCTGCTGTCCGATGGGAAAATCAAATCGCAAGAGACTGAAACGATATTTCTCACACCCAGTGCCTGGGCCATGCACTGCAAGCGCATCATCAATCCAGAGAAGAAGAGCGGCTGCGGCTGGGCATCGGTCAAGTACAAGAACAAGAAATTGGACTCGTACAAAAACACCTATCTGCGGAAGTGTGCCCTGCAAAAGGAATCCACACCTGACGACGGTGATCCAGGTAAGTGTCCAGCCAGCTACCTGGCCTTCCTTTGTTGGTAATCCATTATAAATTGTTTTCGTTGTAGATGCTGAGCGAAAGACTGACTCTCCGGAGATAATCGTGAAGAGGACTGTTTTCGCACACAACAGCATATCGAATCGGAATATTGTTCAGTGAGTATTTTCCATAACCGTTGAAAGTCTGAATTCTTATGGAGATTTACTCACAGCGATGCCAACATGCTCATTGAGTCCGTGCCGTTCACGTCTGTGGGTAAACTGCAGCCCTTCCTGATAACCATTAATTCGTCGGCTTTGCTGCTGGCCGACTTCCACAGCCATCTGACAGTGCGCGAGGTCTGCGGCTACTTGGGCGGCACCTGGGACATGAACACACACAGTGAGTCCGGCTCGTGGTTCCACATCTCCAGAGTCTAGAGACCAGCCCTAACCTCGTCTAAACTTTACTCCTTCGGCAGCTCTATCGATTACAAAGACATATCCTTGTCGCAACACGCGATTCGATCGACAGCGAGCCGGCGAAGTGGAGCGCGATATACAGAAGATGATGATCCAGGATCAGTTTCTGCTGGTGGGATGGTATCACTCCCATCCCAAGTTCCAAGCGGAGCCCACACTGCGTGACTGCGACTCTCAGCTGGACTACCAGATACGAATGCGCGGGGCGAGCGATCTTACCTACACGCCCTGTGTTTCCCTCATTCTTTGTATGACAGAGAATTGCCTAAAGATTTTAGGAATGTTTGTAATTCTTAATCTTTTTTTGCAGCACCCTACTATGATGAGAATCCCACATTGGAGTCGGTGGTCAAATGTATTTGGATTGTGCCGCCCAACGAGAACAAGCAGGCCATGGAATACGGACGACCCATGCTCATGCAGTACTCGGTGCTGCCGGACAAGGAGATACCGGAGGAGGTGCGCACAGAGATACAGCTGTGCGTGGATTACTACTCACAGTATCGCGGCGAAGTGGTCAAGTTCCGCAACATCTTCAACAACGATGTGACATACAACGAAAAGCTGAAGAACACCTTGTACCCGAAATTCCCATCGAAGCAGAGCGACAAGGCGCTGTGGAACTGGATATGCGCTGTGCTGGACTGCGAGCAAGAGGATGATTTCATACCACCGAAGACCATTAAGATTATCGACAACGATGAGATGGATGTGAAGATGGAGACACAGCCAGGAGCCGGTGCTGGGGCGACTAGTGAGGCCACTAGCGATGTGAAGCTGTCATCGGCCAAGGAAGAGCCTCTCGCCGATGGTGCGACATCTATTGAGGAGAGTGCGCGCAAAGCGGAAGAGGAATCATCTGCCCAGGCTGAACAGAAGGCGAGGGACCTCAAGGTGATGTCGCTGCAGGAGCAGCTCTGTATGCCATCCGGCCTGAACATGAATCCAGTGCGCATGCTGTCGCCACTAGCGACTCCCAATCCCACGAGCAGCCTACCCGCAGTTCTGCCAAATCTTGCGGCTCCTGCAATGCCACCGTCGGCGACCACGAGCCAGCTCCTTCCCCCACAGACACCCAGTGGAAGTGTGGCAATCGCCCCCTCAGCCGTCACAACGTCAGCCCTGACCTCTGCGTTGACCGCCTCGCCGCGGGATAGCCCCATCACCATATCGAACTCGGCCAGTCCGGCTAAGTTCGAGGTGCCCGTGCGAGCCTCTCCGTCGCCGGCCAAATCGGACGCCTCGTCCCACACGTCCACGTCCCGCACTCGAAACTCGCCAGCGCCAAGTCCGGGCAAATTCAGTGTGAGCGACATTGCCCGCAACAGCCCCAGCATTACGCCCAACAAGTACGAGGCAGCAGCAGGTGCCCTGGTGCCACCAGCAGCGGCCTGTCTACCCACAGCCAACGATCTGATGGCCGCCAGTCTGGCCCAGCTCGCCGGACAGCTACCGCCGAACTTCCTGCAGGCAGATCTGGCAGCCCTCTTCCAGCAGCAGCGCAAGGATTACGGCAACTCGTCGCTCAATCAATTGGCGGCAGCTGCGGCGAAAGTGGGAGGCTCCAAGCAGGGCAGCAATGCTGCCAATGCAGCTTCCGCATCCGCGGCGGCGGCAGCAGCGGCCCTGGGCGGTCTGAATGATCCGAATGTCGCAGCAGCGGTGGCCGCCTACTCGAACAGCTTCAACATGCCACTGCCCACGGGCACGGGAGGCGGTGGAGGTGGTGGAGGTGCTGGTGGTAGCAGCAGCAACAACAACAGCCACAGCAACAGTAAATCCAAGTCTGAAAGGTCGTCAAAATCCTCATCGTCGTCGTCCTCCTCGAACTCGAGCTCCACGTCCAATTCGTACAAAACGAAGCTGATGAAGGAGCTGGACGAGCTGAAGAACGATCCCCTGAAGATGAGCGAGCTTATCCGCTCCCCGGAGTATGCAGCGCTGCTCCTGCAGCAGGCAGAGGCGCTGGGAGCCACCACACTGGGCACCCTTGGATTCGGCTCCGACTACAGCTATCTGACAGGAGCGGGACTGGGAGTGCCCACGGCCAGTGCGCTCACTGGCAGCCAGCCCTCGAACTCGTCGTCTGGCAAGTCCTCGAAGTCGTCCCCATCGACGTCTGCCTCCGCTTCGGCTGCGGCAGCTGCGGCTGCCCTCAATGCGGACTACAACAACTTGATACAGGCCTCGAAGCTGCTCGGCTACGACTCCTACATGCAGCAAAGTAAGCAGAGTAATGACCTCAACGCGTTCCTGCAGCAACAGATGGCTGGTCTGGCCGCCGCTGCCATTCCTCCGCCTCCAGTCGCCAGCAGCAGCAGCAGCTCCAAGAAGCAGCAACAGCAACAACACCAACAGCAGCAGCAACAACTACAGCAGCAGCAGCAGCAGCAGCAACATCAGCTGCAGCAGCAGTCGGCCCAGGCGGACTACACGGCTCTGCTACAGACCTACACCAAACTGTTCGATCCCAACAATCAGTTTGCGGCGGCAATGGCCTCCAACAAGCACATGGCCGGGGCCCACAACGAACTCTCGGCCCTGCTTAACGCTGGAGCAGGCATCGGTGGGGGTGGCGGCGGCGGCGGCGGCAGCAGCTCAAAGCAGAAACAAAAGGACATGGGAAACGATATGCTGAACCAGCTGCTGCAGCTAGAGAAGCAGGACTCGGAGATCAAGGCGCTGTTGTACCGTCAGAACAAGGCTGCCGCCGACTTGGATGCTCTGTTTGCCACGCCATCGGGGGCTGTGGTGGGGGCCGGTTCCTCGTCGAACTCGATGAAATCCTCCGGCTCGTCGGGCGGTGCTGGCGGAACGGGTGTACCCTCGCCCTCGTCCCTGTCGAGTCCGGCCGCCTACTACAATGCATTGGCCCAGGAAAAAATGCAGGACTATGCGGCCTTCTTCCAGCAGCAGCACGGAAAATACGGCATACCAGATCCGCTCTCGAAGACGACCCTGGCCGCCAACAATATGTTTATGTCGCCGTCGGCGCTGTTCAAGATCCAACAAGAGTCGCTGTCGGCCATGATGATGAAGCCACCGAAGTCGACTACACCATCGTCGGCGCGCACCCGAGAATCCTCGGCTTCGCCGGCCCTGGAGCGACTCACCCCAACCAAGTCGTCCAGCAGCGGCGGTGGTGGCAACAACTCGAACTCTGGTAGCAAATACAACTTCAGTGCCGTGGATCTGGCCATATCGAGTGTGCCCTCAAACACACCGTCACCGGCCCCGTCCGATGGCAGCAGTGGCTCCTCTCACCGACGGCCATCGCCAGACCTGAGCCGACTGTACGGGGAGCTGGCGCCCCCGGGCGGCCTTCTCGGCAGCGGGGTGCCCAAAAAACGCATGGAGTTTGCCTCGGTGGCCGATCTGGCTGCACCGCCGCCAGCCAAGA